TAACATTTGAGTGTGAAGAACCGTGAGCTATAGGGCCATCGGAGACTGCGGACACTGGATCACAGGCAGTAAAATCCAGGGAACAGGAAGGTACAGGGAAAGTTGCTTCCCTACCCCCATACAGACATCTCTTAGTCTGCCCCTTCTCAAAGTCCGGGGGAAGGAGTGGAGTAATGTGGCCGGACAAGGCTGAGAGGGAGGTGGGATGAGGCGGAAGGTGACCTTTCGGTAACATGGATGGCATCTGGGAGGCCAGCTAGGGTGACAGATGCTAAGTGCGATTAAAGCAACACAAAGGCCAAATTGCAGGGAGAGGCAAATATGCTCTCCTCTCATGTCTGCAGCTTCCTCACTGTGTCGTCCAGCAGAACTCCATCAAATGCCCAGAGTCCTGGCTTCTCACCTACCGCACCAGTTATCATAGCTGAGCCTCCACAGATTCCTCCGAGAGTTGAGTGAGATTCTGCACAGGACAGTGCTCTGACGTTGTCAAAGCAATCTGTTGCTCACATACATGCATTCTTACTGTTATCTGAAGGCCTGCAGCAAATCTCTTTGCTATATTTAACAAGGAATGTGTCAGAAATTCTGACCTAGAACTCAGGGGTGGGAATAAAACGGAAGCCTAAAACTCACAGAGGACAGAAGTCTTATTTGGATCTGCAAGTGACAAAGAACTGAACAAACTCACTGGTCTACCCAGCCACACCCCAGCTATTTAATGTGAGTCTTAAGTATGGCTGTGCTGTGAAAATCAGTTACAAATCCCAGCACTAGAGTAAAAGTCTTGCCAGTTTTCCATCGTTACCTCCTGTGCAGGAAGAATTTCCCAGAAGGCCTTGCTTCTTATTTATTTATTTATTTATTTAAGATTTCTGTCTCTTCCCCACCACCGCCTCCCATTTTTCTCCCCCTCCCCCGACCAAGTCCCCCTCCCTCGTCAGCCCAAAGAGCAATCAGGGTTCCCTGCCCTGTGGGAAGTCCAAGGACCACCCACCTCCATCCAGGTCTAGTAAGGTGAGCATCCAAACTGCCTAGGCTCCTACAAAGTTAGTACGTGCAGTAGGATCAAAAACCCATTGCCCTTGTTCTTGAGTTCTCAGTAGTCCTCATTGTCCGCTATGTTCAGCGAGTCCGGTTTTATCCCAGGCTTTTTCAGACCCGGGCCAGCTGGCCTTGATGAGTTCCCGATAGAACATCCCCATTGTCTCAGTGTGTGGGTGCACCCCTCGCAGTCCTGAGTTCCTTGATCGTGCTCTCTCTCCATCTGCTCCTGATTTGGACCTTGAGATTTCAGTCCGGTGTTCCAATGTGGGTCTCTGTCTCCTTCCATCGCTTGATGTAGATTAATGTTCAGAAGGATGCCTATATGTTTTTCTTTGGGTTCACCTTCTTATTTAGCTTCTCTAGGATCACGAATTATAGGCTCAATGTGCTTTATTTATGGCTAGAAACCAAATATGAGTGAGTACATCCCATGATCCTTTTTTTGGCTCTGGCTTACCTCATTCAGGATAGTGTTTTCTATTTCTGTCCATTTGTATGCAAAATTCAAGAGGTCTGATCTCCAAAATATATAAAGAACTCAAGAAACTAGACCATAAAAGGCTAATCAACCCAATTATAAAATGGGGCACTGAGCTGAACAGAGAATTCTCAACAGAAGAAGTTCAAATGGCCAAAAGACACTTAAGATCATGCTCAACTTCCTTAGCGATCGGGGAAAAGCAAATCAAGACAACTTTAAGATACCATCTTACACCTGTCAAAATGGCTAAAATAAAAAACACCAATGATAGCCTTTGCTGGAGAGGTTGTGGAGAAAGGGGTACACTCATCCATTGCTGGTGGGAATGCAAACTTGTGCAACCACTTTGGAAAGCAGTGTGGCGGTTCCTCAGGAAATTCGGGATCAACTTACCCCTGGACCCAGCAATACCACTCTTGGGAATATACCCAAGAGATGCCCTATCATATGACAAAAGTATATGCTCAACTATGTTCATAGCAGCATTGTTTGTAATAGCCAGAACCTGGAAACAGCCGAGATGCCCTTCAATGGAAGAATGGATGAAGAAAGTATGGAATATATACATATTAGAGTACTACTCAGCAGTAAAAAGGCCTTGCTTCTGTTGGCCTTCACTATCATTACTATCTACTTCTTTGGAAGGATAGAAGGCAAACTGTAATGGCTAGAAATATCCTGAATTATCTATGAATTCATCATCATCTTCAGACAAAGATTTGAGATAAAGAAAAGCTGCAAAAAGGGGCAGAGGATGGAGAGGGGGAGTGAGGAAAGGAGGAAGACCCAGCTCTCAGGAAACAGAAACCAGTTTCCCTCCACAAATGAGTGAGGAAAGTTTCAACATAAAACACAAAGACTAAATGCTGGAGAGATGACTCAAGGATCAGGAAAACTTCTTCTTGCTCTTTCAAAAGACATGGTTTGGTTCCCAGCGCTCACATGGTAGCTCATAACCACACGTACCTCCAGTTCCAAGGAACCCAATGCCCACTTCTGTCCACTGTGGGTTCCTACACATGTACATATCCATAAACTAACACAAAAGTACAACTTTTTACAATTAAATGCAAGACTATCTCTCTGAAAAATAACCTAACCCCAACAATTACTGAAAGGAGTGGATTCCAGCCATGTTTGCCATCTGGCTAGGGTAATCTGAATTTAATTCAAAGAAAGGTTTCCTGATTGTGGTTATAGAAGAAATACTTAAAGCCTAATTGATTGTATTGTATCAATGAAGGAACTGTATAAAATGGAAAGAGCTTGCTTTAGGCAAGATCCATAGCATAGACATGAGAGCGACAAAGAGAAACAATGGGTTCCCCCGCTGTCCACAGAGAGTGACATGAACTAGCAGACTAGAAAATTAGCTCATTTAGCAGAGGTAACTGTAGCGCACCATGTCAGTCTGCACTCTATGCGCTACCATACAGTTCGTGAGCCGGGCAAGGGGCTGGAGACTGAAACACACAAAGACACAGACACACAGAGAGAGAGACACGGGTCATCCTTGAAACAAGTATACCCCCTTACTGTGTACCAGACCCACTTATATAGAGATCCTTAGCTGATAGCCATACCCCAGCCAAACCCACCAGAAACCACTCCCCTGCCATCAGGAACTCCTGAGGGTCTCGTGCTCAGAGCAGCTGCAAGTTGTCTCAGAGAAGAGGAAAACAAGTTGTTTACAAGAAATTCAGGATCTGGGGGTTCACAGCTCCCAACAGATAATTTCCATATTATCTGTACAGATGAATGTTTACAGAACCATTCCAATGGCTTTAGGATCAGAGAAAAACACATCACTGGCAGTAGCCCCCAGTGAGGATCCCCAGAAAGGATAAGGGCCATGACTCTCTAGCGCAGTGGTTCTCAACCTTCCTAATGCTGTGACCCTTTAATACAGTTCCTCATGTTGTGGGGACCCCAGCCATAAAATTATTTTGTTGCTATTTCATAACTGTAACTTTGATATTATCATGAATTATAATGTAAACATGTTTGGAGATAGAGCTTTGCCAAAGGGGTTGCCACCCACAGTGAAAACCCCTGATCAAGCCCCACGGAGACTTTGCCAAGAGACATGGATATGTGTGCATCTGATTACCCAGCACCATCATGCAGGGCTCAGTCTTTACCATCATGGCCTGGAACTGCCTGCATTTACTGAAACGCATGACTCTAGAAAGTAAGGACCAAGTCTTGACAGGTCACTGAGGTAGAGCAGATCCAACCAACAGCAGGCCTTCCAAGTGTCATCTTCTAACCTGATCCTGAAATACTGAGGAGCCAAGGAAATGACCCAGTGCGTACAGTGCTGGTAGGCTACAGAAGAACGAGGACCTGGATTCAGATTCCCAGCACTCGTGTAGAAAGCCAGACATAGCACTGTACGCTTTCATCCCCACCACAGTGAACAGAACAGGCAGTCCCGGGTGCCCACTGCCAGCCAATTCTGCTGAAATGATGAACTTCAGGCTCAGACAGAGACTCTCTTAAAAAAACAAGGCAGAGAAGCCATAAAGATAGACAACTGCATGCTGCCCTCCAGTGACCTCTAGTTTCCACACTCTCAAACACAAATAAGTGCATACACACACACACACACACACACACACACACACGTGAACACACATATACACCACACACACATGAAAATTAAGTAATAATATTAATAATAGAATTATTGAACCAAGAAAAGTACAACAAATAAGAGAAAATCATCTTGATTTCCAGTACCAGTAGCCACACCACTTGGAGCAGTGTCAGCCTAAATAATCCCTGGTTTACAGAACCTTGTAAAGGATGTCTTTATGTGCTTGTGTATGTGTCTGCATGTTAGTATGTACACAAGTGAGTAGGTTCCCTTGGATGCTGCAGGAATTCCTACCGCCAGGAGCCTTTAAATTACCCACTCACTTGGGAGTGGCCTCTTATACTATATATGCCGATGTAAAGCGTGCGTCCAGCCACTTTTCCGTTCCAGCAGAGGATTATGATCTGTGGGTCTACCCCTAAATAAATAACCCTCTATTATTCTCAATTCTGAGCTAATGTGGGATCTCTTTTAAGTGTCCTTCTTCACTTGGAGACCAGAAAAGTGTATTAAATCTATGGAGCTAGAGTTATAGGAGGTTGTGAGCTGCCTTATAGGGGCTGAAGACTGAACCCTGGTATCTGAAAACACACAACGATTTCTTAACCACTGAGTCACCTCTCCAGCCCATACCGGAACTTTTAAAATGAGACTAAGAATAGTTATTCTGTCTGTGTTTCTGGTTTCCTTCAAGGCTCACCATCTGCATCTGAGTGAAACAGCTCTTGATATGAATAATTAATGTTATCACTATTTCAAGCCCTGAAGCCAGAGTCTATGATTGATACACGCAAGCAAATTCCCACAATTACCTGAGGACTGAAGACAAGAAGAAAAGCCAGGAACCCACTAACAGAGTCTGGGAAATCCTACCTCTGGGCGACTGGTTTGGCAATGATTTCGAAAATGATGTCTTGCTTTGCATCTTGGTCAAAAATCCTTTGAAATCTGCAATGTGAAAATGCAATTATCTTCAAACGCTATTGGATTAATGAATGTCGTTCTCATAAACACGTTTGTAAATGACCCCACACTGACATCACCAGACTTAGCTAACCTAACACAGTGTTTGCCCTGTCATCCCCCCGACACTGTGCAATTGTATTCTTGCTCAAAAGTGGTGAGTAAACAATATGGCTTTGACAAGATCTGTACAATTGTTCCCCTCTGAAAAAAAGCACACCAGCTTTGAATCGCATAATAAACTGTGTGTTTTTAGCTCTCAAGAAGGACAGTGCAGCAGGCTTTCTCGGACCACAAGCCCCTTAATCATGAGATAGAGGCTTCGTTTTAGTTATGAATACTCAGCCTTAGTTTGTGCTTGTTTCTAGCTAGTTCTCATAACTTAAAATTTAACCTGCTTCTCTTCATCTATGTTTTGCCTCGGGACTTTTTAGCTTTTCATTCTCTATGTCCTACTTTCCTGCTTCTTTCGAGTCAGGTTATCTGGCTGGCCCTGGACCTCTCCCTCTCCTTCTCCCTCATTCTCTCTCAAGCCTAGATTCCTCCTTCTACTTGTTTTCTCTGACTACCACTCCCACCTATCCCTCTATTGCATAGCTATCAGCCATTCAGCTTTTTATTAGACCAATCAGGTGCCTTGGGCAAGCAAGGTACAAATAGCAGCACGTCCTTGTCAAGTTAAACAAATGTACAAATAGCAGCACGTCCTTGCCAAGTTAAACAAATGTACAAATAGCAGCACGTCCTTGTCAAGTTAAACAAATGCAGCATAGAGAAATGCAGCAGAAACTTACATAGTTGAACAAACGCAGCATAAACAAATGTAACATAGTTTTCCTAGGTGAATAAATATTCTATGACAGGACCGTGTCTGTGGCTGGTATCAGAGTCAAACGTCCAGAACTCCATAGGCTGGAAACCCAAGAATGGGATGGAAAAGGCCCTTGGGCTTCTGACATTTGCCGGGTGAGGAAAGACTGCAAGTTTACTGCACAATGCCTGAAGGTGCAGCATTTGAACTGTAGCTTGTGGTTGCCCATGCATTAGGTACCTCCCGTTCTGACAGGGAGGGCAGCTTTCTGTACTGCTGTCTCATTTCCTCGCTCATGACTCAAAAGTCAGAAAGGACTGATCTGTCCTGCAAAGCCAGGTCTTCCCGAGAACTGCAGGAGGGGAGTTCCAGGAGGTGGCAGAGTGGTTGTTCCATCCTCCTTGCAGAATCACTTCAGTTTGGTAGAGGATTACCAGTAGAGCAGGACACTTGGGAGACACGATCTGTTCTCCTGTACCCCCCCCCTCTCTCTCTCTCTCTCTTCTCTCTCTCTCTCTCTCTCTCTCTCTCTCTCTCTCTCTCTCTCTCTCTCTCCTCTGTGTGTGCACGTGTGCTCACATGCATGGATGTGGAGGTCAGAAGACAACCTTGGTGTCTTTCCTTGGGTCTCTCACTGGCCTGGAACGCACCAAGTGGGCTAGCTGGCTAGCTGGCTGGCTACCAAGCCCCAGAACCTCTACCTCTCTGGCCCAGGATGATAAGCATGCCATCCCATCCGGTGCTGGGGCTCAAACTCAGGTTCTCATGTCTGCAAAGTAAACACTTTGCTAACTGCGATCTCTTCCCAATCACTTACATTTTTTCAAAATAAAAATGAGAGGATACAGTCTTTAAAGTAAAAATTCTCAAGTGAAATTTTTGAGAGAGTCTTAAGCAGCTTCCTGGTGGCTTTGGACCTCTAGCCAACACCACTGCCTACATAGTCAGTTGACCGTATTCACCTAAAGCGGTGAGGCTGCCAGGGAGGAGTTCAGATGAATGCCCACAGTTAGATTAGAAATATAAAATAAAAAGAAATTTATCCTCAAGGGACCCCAGGTCTTTTCAGCCTTCATCTGAGATGAGCAAATGGTGACCAATGCACTGACAGCCTAAGGCAGTGTTCTCAGCCTTCCTGATGCTACCGCCCTTTAAACACGCTGCCATGACCCCCAGCCGTAAAATGATTCTGTTGCTACTTTATAACTATAATTTTGCTACCGTTAGGAATCACAACATAAATATATGTGTTTTCCGATGGTCTCAGGTGACCTCTGTGAGAGGGTCATTCAAGCCCATGGAGTCATGATCCACATGCTGAGAACCACTGCTCTAAGGACTTAGGAGCAGCAGATATGAGGTGTTGATGTGCCGTGCCTGGATCAGCCCTTCAAACCCTTCGATCTGAACACCAGCATGACGCAGGCTTCCACAGAACACACGGCCACCATGCATGAGTGTGCTCTAAGGAGCACGGTTGACTCGAGCTGTGCTGGTGGTGGACTACAGACTTCCAGCAGGGTCTCGGGGAAGCTGCCCAGGAATGGGGCCTACTGGCTTCTTTCTCCTGATTGCTGGTGACCTTGAGGCAATAGGACACTCCCCACCCCACTTCTCTACTCCCGACCAGGAATTACATCTATCGGTGCAACATTAAGACATGCCAGGAGCTTTCGAGAAGGCACTGAGTCACCCACAGAATACATTCTGAAAGGTTCCTTGTATAAAGTTAATATGATCAGTTTATCTACTGACTTATCTATTTTATAAATATCTATCAAGTGCCTCCCACATGCTAGGTACTCTACCAATGTTGTAATTAGACTGAAATATAATTTTAGAACAGTACCCATAAAGCATACTGAATTCCTTGTGCAGGGCATGATATCCTCTGGTTAGAGAGATGGCTCGGCCATTACGGTTACGAGGCTGAGAGCACTTATTCTTACAGGGAACCCAAGTTCAACTTACAGCACCAAGAGGGTAGCTTGCAACCACTTGCAAGTCCAACCCCAGGGAACCCAACGCCCTCTTCCAGCCTCCATGGGCACCTGCACATACATACACATACACCTTATTTAAAAAAAAATTTAAAGGACCTTTACACCCATCAAATCATTCTAAAATGCTATCTTCTGATCTTTAAGAGAATAGTGGATCAAGAAAAAACCGAGATATTTCTCTTATCTCCCTACTTCAGAATGAAGACTTCAGGATCAGAGTTTACAGCTAACTGGTAATTGCATATTGAGCATCAAACACCACCATCTCCAAACATTCCACTTTCACAACAGAGCTATGTTACAATCTGGGGAGGAACGTGGACCAGCTGGCTTCTGAAGAACAGGAGAGAATCCTAGAATTCAGAAAAGCTGTACGAAGTTCAGTCCAATCTCTTATGCAGATAAAAACGACTCAGGGTCCTCATGCCCATCAATAACATGCTGAGAAAGAACATGAGATTCTCCGTGACCAAGATGTCCTTTCATTCAGTGAGGATGTTGTGTGGGCTTTCTCTACAGCCCATTTCAACTGCACACAGACTAGTCTTTCCATCTGAAGCCTTTACTGAAATCGTCCTCACCCCACAAGATGACTGATGGAGGAGGGTCATCTGTCTATCTGTTGCTTTCATTGGTTAATTAATAAAGAAACTGCTTGGCCTGATAGGTCAGAACAAAGGTATGCGGAGTAGACAGAACAGAATGCTGTGAAGAAGGGAAGTGAAGCAGACACTAAGAAAGCTGAGTCAGGCAGACGCTATAGCTCTCCTCTCCAAGATGGACACAGATTAAGATCCTTCCCCGTAAGCCACCACCTCGTGGTGATACAAGATTAATAGAAATGGTTAATCAAGATGTGAGAATTAGCCAATAAGAGGCTAGAACTAATGGGCCAAGCAGTGTTTAAAAGAATACAATTTGCGTGTAATTATTTTGGGTAAAGCTACTGGTGGCCGGGAGCTGGGAGGCAGAAAGCAGCCTGCAGCTCCTACTACAAACGACAGTTCCATCCTTCTAAAATTTCAGTCCCAAACTTGCTGGCTTCCTTGATCCACTCTTTCTGTTTAACTGTAATGAGTTCACTGGCAAGCACTGGCAACTCTGACCTCCAAATGTCTAGAATCCAATTAGAGGCAAGCCTCAACATCCTCAGACCCAAATCTGCAATTGTGCGTAGCTCTTACATCATATAACAGCATTTGCACAGAGTTCGTGTAGCTCTCTCCATATACCCTGCATACTGCTCACGATTCTCACTACAGTGCAAATGTCATGTGACTATCTGTGTACACTACTGTTTGTGGAGGGTGGATGGAAGACTCTGTGGGTTCAGTACAGGCAGCCTCAATCCTCTTCAGTACCTAGGCTGGTCAGACCCATGTATTCAGGACCAGAAACAACGGTTCAGATCTCCAGACACAGGACCAGAAACAACGGATATCTCTCGGCACCCCACTTCCCACCAAGGATAGAACACTACAGTTGTGTCACTTGTTTTCCATGCCCGTTACAGGGTGTGCTGTGTAGGTCAGCAAGTGCTATCCTCCTGCAAGATCAGCAAGGACCGTGCTACTGCAACCAGGGTGTGGTGACCCCTTCCCTCTCAGCATCACCCTTTTTCTGCCCATGCCACTTGAGGTGACAGCTCAAGTCACTCATAAGGTCCTATATAATTTGGCTTCTCCCTGCCCTTTGACCTGCCTTCTTCCTGTCTGTCCCTTGCGGGATCTATAAGCCTCATGGTCCCCTTCCCTTCCCCAAACACTCATGCACTCTTCCAGCTTAAGGACTTCGTTCTTCCTGCTCCCGTGCCATGGACCTTTCATCTCTCAGGCTGGCAGTGAAGAATGCCCAGGGTGGATAGCAGGGACAGTCACATGAACCATGTGGTTAAGCACTGCCCAAGAGAAATACAGAACCATCCATATGTTATTTGAAGTGTTCCAGCTGCAGTTTAAAAAAAGAGGAATAAGAAAAGAAGAATCCTGGGAAATTAAATATAATAATGCATTTAACCCAATAGATCCAAATTTTTGTCACTATGATATGGGATCAATATGAAAAGATTCCTGAGATATTTCATATTCTCTGTATTTTTTTTCACATTGAATCTTCCAAATAAATGAATACCTGACAGAGTATTCAGAAGAGAAATGATTCTAATGGATGTTCCACAGGACATCACAGGCATTGAATATGGACATGTGCACCTGAGACAAACAAAGCCCACCTAAGAAACACATGGACGAGACCACAACATCTCACCTTCAATGACGTTCACACATTCGTGGACTTCATGCAGTCCCACAATGAGCGAAGCATGGAAATCCTAACACTACAGGTGACATCTGAGGCTATAACCATGCCACTTCTTTATTATCTATTGTGTGTGCTCGTATGTGTGCACACTTGTGTGAGGTGGGGTGCACGTGCTCACAATATATGTGTGGCGGTCAGAGGACAAGTTCACATGTCCATACTCAGGCTACATTCCAACTGCTGTTTGAGAATCAAGTTCTCACTGGTCTGCAACTTTGCCCGGCGCACATTTGTGGCTTACAGGGCGCCCCCCTTCTGCCACCCATCTTGCCCTGACTGGGGTGCATTACTCTGCCTAGCTTCCACCTGGGATCTGGGGATCTGAACTCAGGTCCTTGGGCTGGGAAAGCAAGGACTTTATGGACAGAGCCATTTCTCCAGCCCTGGAACATAATCTCAAACACAGAAACCTACCTTTTAATCTTGGGCACAGTAATGAAGTTGAGTTCTATATACCAGATGAGATGGCCATATCACTCTTGCCACGGAAATGGGGCTGATGACTTTGGCAACAGAAACTGACACGGGACAAGAACTTGCCAAGTAATGAAGCAGAAACAAAGAGGAAGAACAAGGCTTACTTAAACTTGTAGCTTTCCCGCTTGTTGTTCACAAATCCATCCGCTAGATCTCGGGGTAAGAGAATTTCCAAGCTAGGTGCTGATTTCTCATCTTCATCTATAGAATAAATCTGCAAATACAAGAACAATAGGTGACTATAAATGGTAAAATTCCAGCATGATCTCTGACCTGAATATGATTAGCATTGTAATGGTACAAAACTGTGCTTTCATGACAAAATATCATAGCACAGTATAATACGTAAATTTTTCTTTGAACTGTTATTGGGCTCAAACAAATACATAAAACAAAACAAGAGTTAAAACCTAAAGTGATGTTTGCATTAGTGACTTTCTGTGTTTAGCGGCGTAAATGAAGGCAGACAGAAATTAAAATAAAATATTCAGCTTTAATTAGGAAAAGACTTACAGAACCCGAGGTTCCCGCGGAGAACAGGAAAGCAGAAGGGATGGGGGAAGCACACCAGCAATATTTATTAGTAAAAAAATATCCTCAGGGGACCCGCCCTACAAGCAAGGTGATTGGTTGAGGCTACCCCTACATCTGTGACTGTGATAAAACGCCATGACCAAAGCAACATATGCAGGACAGAGTTTATTTTGGCTTGTGGACCCTGTGGGAGAGTCTATAAAGGCAGGGGAAGGCATGACAGCAGGCAGCCACAGGAAGCCGAGACATCACATCTTCAAATACACACGAGGCAGAGAGTGAACTGGGAGCAGGTGAGGCTATAAGCTCACAAAGTCCACCCCAGTGATATACTCCCTCCAGCTTCTGAAGGTGACATCACTTCCTCAAACAGTGCCACCAGCAGGGAAATGGCCTTCAACTATCTGAGCCTATGGGGGACATCCTCATTCAAACCACCACCATGCTGTCTCAAGGTTCTGATCACCTTTGGATGATGTACTATCCAAGTTTGATTGTGTAAATCCATCCCTATTGTTGAGGAAACCCTTGAAAGCCTTATGCTAGGCATTGTTTCCCCGTTCTAGGGAAGAAGTTCGCATTCTTGCTACAGCTCAGAAGCACGTCTGAGCATGTGCAAACCAGACACAGTCGTGACAGTGATGTCTGAACCTTGTCAGAGGGTAAACAGGGGTATCCAATTTTTAGTTATATCCCCCAAAATCCCAAGTTGCAGGAGTTTGATGGGTCGTGTGGTTTGAAAAGATGCGTGTGCATGTTTTTGCCGTCTGCGGATTGAAAAGATGCGTGTGCATGTCTTTGATGATGTCTGCGGTTTGGAAGGATGCGTGTGCATGTCTTTGCCGTCTGCGGTTTGGAAGGATGCATGTGCATGTCTTTGATGTCGTCTGCGGTTTGGAAGGATGCGTGTGCATGTCTTTGACGTCTGCGGTTTGGAAGGATGCGTGTGCATGTCTTTGACGTCTTGTGTTTCCATCACAGCATAGACACTACTTACTAAGTGACCTGGGAGAAATCACTTCCACTTTCCAAGCTGACATGGAAATAGAACCCTAAAACCCTGACAATGGTACCATTTTCTGATTCCTGTCTCCATTACTTACTCTTTTATTTCTTGGCCAGGAAAATCAACACTCAAGGCTATAAAGAAACCCTGCAACTTAATGTCTACATGCTGAACCCAACCACCAGGTGTGAGCCCAGTAACTGCTCTCAGAATCAAAGGGCCCTTCTATATAAAGTGTGGGAAACAAAATGTCCAGGCCCCCTTGCAGAGTGCTTGGGGGCGGAGTGATGACGCAATGCAAATGGAAGCATTTTGTAATGCACCATAAAAAGAAGATTTAAAAAAGACTTCTTGTCTTTCACCAGGAAATAAACTACTTTCTTACAAGCAGTACTTCCTGTTTAAGGAAGACTAATTTAGATGCATGATTAGAGGGTAGGAGTCATATTTTTACCCCAGGAAAAGTTAAGTTTACAGAAAGTATGAATAATGTCCAAAGCAGATTCTGTTTTAAATTTGAGACAGGGTCTCACCACTATGTAACCCTGACTGGCTGTGTTGACCCAGCTGGCAGAGATCCATCTATTGCTGCCTTCAAATCCAAGTGCTGGGATTAAAGGCATGTGCCACCAGGCCTGGCCTAAGCAGATTCTTACTGAAACATCTTACTCAAAAAACATGAAAAGTTCAGATAAAAAGGCCATGTTGTAAAATAAAATTTCTGAAAGCAGAAGAGGAAGGGGGCATTTGAGGGTTCAAGGTTTTTCACTAGATTTTTTTTCTCCCACGAGATATTCAAAAACTCTATTCTGGTAGAATAGAATCTAACACAACCAGAAATAAATAACTAAATAAGCAAACCAAAATGTCATTGAAATGATTCCTAATGATACTCTGCTATACTTAGACCAGAACTAGCAAGATCATCAGAGAGTCTTCTTCCAGCAACTGATGGGAGCAGATGCAGAGACCCACAGCCAAACTAAGGCAGAGCTCAGAGAATCCTGTGGGAGAGGCGAAAGAAAGATTCTAGGAGCCAGAGGGGTGAAGGAGGCCACAAGAACACTGCCCACAGAACCAACCAACCTGGGCTGATAGGGGCTCACAGAGACAGAACCGGCGATCAGGCAGCCTGTACAGGGCTGACCTAGGCCTTCTGCATATATGTTACGGATGTGTGTCTTGGTGTTCTTGTAGGACTCCTAATAGTGGGAACAGGGGCTGTCTCTGACTCTTTTCCCTCATTTTGAGACCCTTTTCCTCTTACTGGGTTGCTCCATCCATCCTTGATATGAGGAAAGATGCCTAGTCTTAGTGTAACTTGCTATGCTTTGTTTGGTTGATATCTCTGGGAGGCCTGCCATCTGTGGGGAGAAGAGCGGTGGAGAAGAGGGCCTGGGAGGAGAGGAGGGAGGGGAAACTTGCTCAGGATGTAATATATGAGAGAAGAATTTTAAAAAGTGTATTGTGACGGGCAGGACGCCGCTGTTGATGGTCAGTGAAAGAAGTGCGCATGACACGAAATACACAAAACGGAGGTGACACACACTTTAAAATGCTGTACCTGGGGTGGAAGCAGTAAGTGCCTAAACCACACCCAAGTGCTTTAGGGCTCACCAACACAGCTCTCTTTCTGAGACAGGGTCTGGATAAACTGTCCAAGTGGGCCTTGAATTTTTTAGCCTTGTCCCAGTCTCCAGGGAAGGTGGGATACAGAGCTGTGCCACCAGGCACAGGCGGGTACAAAGCTGTGCCACCAGGTGGAGGTGGATACAGAGCTGTGCCACCAGGTGGAGGCGGATACAGAGCTGTGCCACCAGGCGGAGGCGGATACAGAGCAAGTCAACATTCAAAGGAAAAGCCTACAGTGGTGACCCACACCTATAATCCCAGCACTGGAGAGGTAGAGGCAGGGGAACTGGGAGTTCAGTGACTCGAGAGCTCCCCAGCTCTACCCCGCGCACCTCCCTACCATAGCTGAACTTCTCTTTGACCACCAAGCAAGCGCAAAGTCTAGGAATCTGGGCAGCACCACATATGCTTTAAAGGGCCTCTGTGTGGGTAACTGCAGGAGAGGCAGCAGCAACGATGCCCAACATTCTCCCTACTGCTTCATTTCTCTAAACAAACATGACTAATACTGTGGCTGGAGAGATGGCTCAGCGGTGAAGAGCCCTGGCTGCTCCTCCAGAGGACCTGGGTTCAATCCCCAGCACTCACGAGGGGGATCACAGACATCTGATGTTCTCTGGCCTCTGAAGGCACTGCATGCATGTGGTACACATATGTTCATGTAAGCAAAACACTTGCACAAATAAAATAGAAATAAATAAAAAATTTAAGATGATTAATATTCTCCTCTATGGTCTTTTCTCGCAGCTTCTCCTGAATGTTTTTCATGGGATAAAGGCTACTGATCATGATGGCCGAGACATTATGATCTCCTTGTTTTAAGGATACAAATTACCAGAGGCCAATGCTAAATTATAATATGCCATAATGTTACATACTTTCATACACATAACACTGAAAAAGAATAGAAATAAAACATTATTAATTATATATTTACTCCAGGCATTCAAAAATATGAACCAATTGCCTCAATACTCACTTTGGAAGTCAGAAATACATATATATATATATATATATATATATATATATATATATGTTCGTGTGTGTATGTGTGTGTGTGTTTGTGTGGGTTTGTTTGTCTTTAAGGAAATGTAAGTTTCAAAATCCTTAATTAAACTTAAACTCTGGGACTTGCACGGCCCATGCCTTTAATTCCATTATTTAGGAATCAGAGACTGGTGGGTTTCCATGAGTTCAAGGCCAACCTGGTCTACATACTGAGTTCACGCTAGCCAGGACTACAAAGGGAGGCCCTGTCTCAAGACAAAGAACAAATTACATTAAAATTAAACAAAATTCAGTCCCTGCGATTCAGCAGCTGGGTGTCCTGGCCACTTTACTTAACCCAGCACACAGTGTCCTCGTGTTTAAAATGAGGGCAACGACCAGAGTCCCAGCAGAGGATCAAGGATGAACCAGAAAAGGGGCCTGGCAGGTGGTGCTTCCTCCAAACACAGCCAAGGCCGACCTTGCCCACCCAAGAGGCAGAGAGGGTAGTCTGTCTCCACAACCTTTGCAAACTTCTAGATTTAGCGCACACCTCAGTTAAGGCTTTCTGGGGACGGGGGTGGGGAGTGGTTTGGGACACACAACACATTTACTATGAATGCATGCCAGAAAAAAAATCCATGGGCGTCTCAGAAGCAAAGGAGTTAGATAAGTAATCTTGTAGGCTGTAGTGTGCCAAAAATAATAATAATAATAATAAAATAAATAAATAAAATAAAAATAAAGAAAAGAGAGCACGCGTGCGTGCTTGTCTATAATTGTATAATTCTGCTTACGAGCGTGCATTATAATACTTGCATACCAGTTGCCCCATCAGACTCAGCTCCAAGCTGTGTGTGGAGAGCTGAGAGGGCAAGAGGCAACGCCTCAGAAGAGTGCAAGAAGCGCCTGCCCCTGTGTGGATGGGACTCTGCGCAGGTGAATGTGCAAACTGGGATACGTGCACGCGTGTGCACCCCTGTGCCAGGCCTGGGGCTGAGGTTGTGGGCGGGCTCTGTCCACCCTCAGGGCTGCAGTCTGTGTGGCCATTCCGCGCCCCGCGCCCTCCTTCCCCCTCACCCCCTCCCCCTCCTCCCCCGCGCTGGGCCCCCACGCGCCCCATTTCCGACCCCGCGGCCCATACCCCTTGCTGCTGCTTCCGCTCGGGGGGCTTCACTCTAGCGAAAATCTGGATCGTCTGCTTCATCATCACCAACAGAAACTCCGCACTGACCCTTGACCTTTCCAAGTTAGACCTACACAAAACTTCCTACTCCCACCTCGTACTGAGACCCGCTGCCCTAGCAACAGTAACCAAGGATGCTACCCAAGCAGCACTGCGGCCAGTGGGAATCCCGCCTCCTCTACCCTAATTGGTCGTGAGCTAAGAGGAAGGGTTAGGGGCGGGACGGGGGGGGGGGCGGGTATGTGTGCTGCGCACGTGTGTGGGAGATGCTCTGGGGACTTGGGTTAAAGAGTTTCCGACTCCCTAGTCTGGCCCCTTTGCGAATAGCTTCTTCCTCATTTCTTAACCCCTTTAAATCTCTCTGAAGTCAGCCTGCCGTTTATCATGCACTGAAGAAAAGCCCTTTTTTGGTTGCGACTCCCAAGCTGCTCTAATTCACTCGGAAATCATTGTGCGACAGAGCAGGTTCTCAACAGAAAATCACAACCCAAGAAGAAGGGCGGAGCTGCGTTCCCTGTGAAGAGAAGGCTTCCCATGTGAACTTTCTGGAAATGATGAGTTCCTGAGAGACACCCTCTGAAAACTTATCCAACCTTCATTCACCAGGAAAATGCAAATTAGAACCAAACTGCAGTGGGCTAAGATAAATAGTGGCTGGGAAGTTTGTGGTGTGCCCGTGTTACCAGGTGTCAACGAAGTTGGAGAGATGAATTGGTGGCTCGCTGAGGAGGTGGGCACTGTAGAATGGTGTAGTCACGCTGAAAAAGAAAGTTTGACAGTTTTTGTTGACGTTTTACACAGGATCTCACTGTGCAGAATAATGGCCTCCACCTCACCATTTTCCCCCTCTTTTGAGGTTCTGGGTGCACCTCCATTTCCACCTTGCATTTGTGTATTTTTGTTTTCCCAGAAAACGGAAGGTGTAGCTATTTTGAGACACACCAGGTGCACTTTGGGAATATTTATCTTAGAGGAATGAAAACTTGTGTTCACAAGAAAAATCTGTGTGCATTTGCTGGATTTGTAATAGACCAATAGACATCTGCAGGCAAGGCAGGCGTCCTGTGGCTGATGAGCAGTTATGCAAACTTAGAATACCATCTCAAAGGAATGAACCATTCCTTTGTAACATATGTAACAACCTGAATTTAACCCCTTAATTAAAAACAAGCAAACAGAAGATAAATACTGTATATGAGTTCCTTTATATAATATTCTTGAAATGGCAAAATTCCAGAGATGGGACCTTAAGATGTCATTGGGGATGCCGAGAAGACAAGAGAACAGAATAAACATAAAGGAAGCCCGTCAGTCAAGTGAGAATGAACAAGGTTGGTGATGCTCTCAGGGTGGGTGTTCTGAATTATATATGTTGAGCTATATAATTCTACAAGACATTCCTGTTGTGGGAAACTGAGGGAAGGGCACACAATTATCTCTACTACGTTTACAAGTGTGAACCGACAATTCCAAAATAAATAGCTTTTAAAATCACATTCTTGAGCAAATGAATAAATAGGCCAACCATAGGTTGAGAGCTTTTATTTTTCAAAACATAGATAATAAAAAATGTCTAGAATACAATTTTAAATCCACTTTAAAATCTGATCATAGACAGGCAAATAACCCAGGCTGAGGGCATAGTTCATTGACAGAGAACTTGCATAGATACAGAAGGTTGTGGGTTCAAGTCCCCAGCATCCCGAGGAAAAAATTAAATCCAATTTGGGGTTCTGGAGAGAAGACTCAGTGGTTAAGATTGATGCTACCAGCTCCCTAGGACTGGAGTTTGACTCCCGACCCCCATGTCTGGTAGTTCACAACTACCTGTAACTCTATCTCCCTAGAATCTGGTGCCCTCTTCTGACCTCTGTAGGTACTCTCACATACATGCGCATACACATAAATAAATACATCTCTTTAATTCAAATTTTAAAAAAGTGGCACAAACATTTGAGGAAACATTTCATTTATGAAAAAGATTATGTGGCTGTCAAATTAATAGATAAAAAAAATAGTGGAAGTCATTAAAGCCACAATGGGATGCCACTGCACACCTCTTACAGGAGTCAAAATAAGGAAAGGATATTGACAGTACCAAGTGTCGGCGGAAATTCAGAGTATCTAGAACTTCCAAGCTCGGCAGTAAGACAAGAAGATACACACACATCACTTTCAAAAGCAGGCTTAGAGTTTCTAATAAAGTTAAGCATACCCGTGTCACATGGTCCAAAACAAAAGCACAGGCATCTAGACAGAAGTGTTCAGGGCAATTTCATTCGTAATTGCCAAAACCTGGAAACAACATCTTTGGGCCAACAGATAAACAGCTAGTGCAATCAGAACAGTAAAGGAATGGACTACAGGTCCTGCAACATGGCTAAGTCTTCAATTGATTATGCCCAGTGACAGGCAATCTAATTTCATGCATATGATATCTTAGATAAAGGAAAGCTACAGGACACAAAACAGGCGAATAGCTTCCAAAGGCTGGGATAGGACGTGGAATTGGCTGCAAAGGAGCATGGGAGGCCCTGGGGTGCAGTGATAGAAAATACCTTTGCGTGTGTCTATGAGGGGTTCTGCAAGGTTTAGCTGAAGTTCTCCCTGGATACAGGCAGCACAATCCCTTGAACAGTGATCAGATCCCAGGCTGGAAGGAAATGAAGAAGGAACCGAGCTGAAAGCTAGCGTTTGTCTTTGTCTTCTTCCTGATCTTCTGAGATGTGTGCAATCAGCCTACCTCTTCTGCCACCACAGTGAGGAGCTGTTCCCATAGCTGAGCCTTTTCCACCATGATGGACTCAAACCATGCACCGAAATAAAGTGTTCTGCAAGCTGCTTCTTGCCAAGTATTTGGTCACGACACAGGAAAAGTGATGAATAAAACCTGCATATGTGCATATGTATGTGCATGTATGTGTGTGTATGTAAATGAATGTGAAAACCATATGGCAACCTTGACTATCATTCCTCACGTGTCAATCACCTTGGCTTTTGAGACAGAGTCTCTCACTGGAGTAGAACTTAGCAAGTAGCCTAGGATGGCTGGCCAATGAGTCTCAGACTCCTGCATACCTCAGCCTCCCTTGCTTTGGGATTATATGCACTTGCTACCACCCCAAACCTTGTCTTCTGTATGTTCTGGGACTAGAACTCAGGACCCAATGCATGTGTCGCAACCACTTTACCAACTAATGTCCCCAGTCCTGGGGATACAGTCTTCTAAAGAGCCATTCAAGTGCTCGTAGGGCATACACACAGAGATTGCAAGCTCTGTACCTCCCGGGGCCATACTTGGGATGTATATGCTTTAAGTAGGCAGATAAAGACAGCAGGCATGTGCTGGAACCCAGAAACTAGAGCATTCAGCTAAAAGCATTTTCAGTCCAGATGGTTAATGCACAATGTTGCCTGAAGACACCCTATGCGTGGCCAGCAGTTAGAACCTGTTCCATTTAGGACATAAGTTACTCACGGGCCATGCTCGGACCACGTTCCCCTAATCCCCAGCAGATGGTTATAATGGGCACACACGGGGTTTTGTGATTAAATCTCCTAGTTCCTTGTCTTTCCCCCAACTGAATTTCTACTCAGTATTCTTATTTACACCTTGCCTTGTTTAGATGCAGTTGAAATGCTATTTAATTTTTAAAGGACCCTTGAGCTCTGCAGTTGCCCAAGTCACAGATGGCTTCAGCAAGCCAATGAACTGGGCTTCTCTGCCCTAGAATGTGTAAGAATTAAGCTAAGCCTGCAGCAAATTAGTGTGTAGGCAAGCTGGTTGGGCTCTATCTGCCTGCTGGTCTTGTTTTGTTTTCTAGAAGTTTCAGCTCTGGTGCCGGTTCCAGCTAGCTCTGGGAACTACTGGTACTCCAGTCGTAAAACGCATCATTTTAGTTTACATGTCTCAGGAGACACCGGTTTAAAAAAAATGTAGGCTAGTAATTTTGACATAGATTATGTATGTACAGTTACCAAAGTGCAGTAAACTTTCTCCCCTCTTTAGTTTATGGCTTGAGAATTTCATACAGGCATTTATTGTATTTTGATTAAATCTACTCCCCACTTTCTCTCCTCCAACTCTTCCCATACCCCTCACCTCTTGTCCCTCCCAACTTCATGTAATCTTTCTGTTTGTGTTTGTTTTTAAAGCCACCAGGCCTTTTTAGTGGACCAAGTCTGTGATGGAGGCAGGACCATCCCCTGGAACACAGGGCCACCTGTCAGGGGCCGAATCCCTGAGGAAAGCTGACTGTCCTGCCTGCAGCAGCCACCAGCTGTCCTTAGCTCCTCTGTTAACCCTGTGATTTCTTAGGTCCCGCCCCCTCCTCATGTTGGAATTTGGCTGACTTGACCCAAGGAGTGACACAAAACACTAGGGTTCTCTGGGCAGGACAGGGTCATTGTACACATGAACTCACAGACACTGGATGCTTCCCTTGTCTAGAAATCTCCTCATGACTGCCCTGGTGTTCCATCTGTGTCAGGGGACAGTACTTTCAGATCCACAGTGATGATTTCCCTAGCCCTCTCCCAGTTCTTCTGTTCATAACCTCCTCCACAAAGCAAGGCCAATAATGAAAGTTCCCTGCTTATTGGTAGATAATAATTAGTAGCATTAATAAGAATGTAGTCATTCGTCACGGATTGCCTTGCTAGCTGCGACTAACATCGACTAGCATAGACTAACATAAACTAACATAGATTAACATAGACTAACAGGCGCTGCATGTGTGTGCCAGATAAACATTTGGCGAGAAGGAGTGAAAAGATGCTGAAGTCATAGCAGGTAGTGGAGGACACACCTTCATTAGAAATCTCCTTAAAGCTCAGCTTCACCCATCTATCTTGTGGGTGGTCAGGAGAGACCCTTCCCATCCCCCATCTCAATGGGGCTTTTACCCATTGTTTCTAAGCAAACGGAGAATACACACAGCAATTTCTGGTATTCATTAAATGCTGAATAATAAACATGCTTTTATACTGCCGAGCAGGGGCACCACAAAATCTGTACTATATCATTTCAGCAAAGAAATTTCTTTTGAGAATGTGTTCAGCTAATTTAAAGCATGATTTCATTAACATAAC